ATATATTATAGAGCGGTTTTTATTTAATATATATATGTGTGATTTATTTGTCGTTTTTATATATATATATATATATATATATATATACATTTATAAAAATTTCGATATTAATAAGAAATAACAATTTCAATACAATCTTCTTATATTATTATACATAAAACTGCAAACTTACTTGATACAAATAAAAACTAAAACAAACTACTACACATCCCGTGAAACAAGATAGCATTATTTCGAATGTGGTCATGAAATGTTTCGTCATTCTTAAAAATAAAAATATTAGTGAATATTAGTAAATGTATTGCACGATATAAAAAACACAGATACATACTTCATAGCTTGACGATGAATGTCTACGGCACAAATTATACCTTCGATCATCAAAATTTTTCTTTTTATCGTAATGTTTCGTGGAGTATTAACGTTTACTACATGTTCAATGCGATAGCTGCAAATGTGTTTTTTTCTTATAGCCATTTGTTGAGTAATACAATTTTTTTGTTGAAACATCCACACTAACTTCTTTTAATGTAATGCACTGTATAAAGGTAAATTTTAGTAAAGCTCTTGTTTAGTGAGCAGCATCGGTTACCTTATCTTTAATACATGTTGTTAAAGATGTTCTGCTAAGTAACACTCAGAACAGTCAAAAGGTTTTAGCCTTCGCTCGTTCTTTATTAAAAAGTTATTAACAAAAAAAGTTTCATAAATAGAACATAGTTTTTTGTCACCGTATTAGGGATTAGATCACTTTTTTTGACACCGTATTAGATTATGATTTTGACAACATATGTTAAGGTGATTGGTTTGAAATATCCTAAACAAGAGTTTTACCTAAATTTTATATACCAGTTAAAATTATCATGCTTTTAGGTCCATTCGTACCTAGCAATTTTAAATATTCCACAAATATGCTGAATATATGTAATGAGCATTGTACCTATTCCCAACATTATAATTGTTCCAGTACATAATACTGTGTACATATGTAACAGAATCCAATAGAAATACTTTTCTTGATCAACAAAGTACTCTGTCACAATGACTGTATGATACGATTGGGACATATTCATCGATACATCAACTTTAGCTATATACCAAATTTGAAATATAGTAAAAATAAATAATGCACTAATTCCAAATGCTAAAATGCAAAAGAATTTGTCATTTAAATTTGTAATATCTAAAATCACTTCATGTATACCGTACGCATGCATCATAAAATAATTTTTAATTTTATTAAAATAGAATTTTGCTGCAAAATTGATAATTGTTATCTTATTTTGTTATCATACGATTTGTTATGAAATTTTTAATAGAATATTTCATTATAAAATTAGTAGTTATTTTTTTATTTTATTCGATTATTATTAAACATATTTGCTATTCATCACAAATGCACAACTCATATGCTTTAATTTAATGTACGCAAGTAATAAGTCGTATACATACAAGCGTATATACGAAAATATGATGAAATATGATGCTAAATTCGATTTTTCTTTGTCTCTCTCTCTCTCGACAGTTTACAATATTTATAATTAGATATTAAACCGAAAACGAGTGATTACACGCAAAATGAATCAGATATCGTCTTACTTGTAAGCATAACCGTGTAACGTTTGGCAACGTAACTATATTTATATACAATAATAATTTCATTGTTATCCTTTAATTTATTATGTATGTACTCAAGCTGCATCAATAAATTCTTTACCTGTCATTTTATTAATTTTCTATACTATCTTTGTATACACAAACAAATAGGTTTGCTATAAAAATTTATTTGACAGACAGATTAATTCTATTTGATGGCTATTATGTAAGATATCAACTTACAACTTTAATCTTGAGGCAAAATGCGCTATACTGTATTATAAACATTGTATAGAAAGATACGGAAGACAGCACTTTGATGACAGCATTCAAAGTACGTTTAAATGTTATTAATGGTGTCAGCTACAAAAATATAGTTTTACTTATAATAAAAATATAGTTTTACGTATAAAAAATATGATTATTATGGAGAGTTGTCAAACGTGTATTACTTAAGTTATTTCTTATTATATTTTCCATTTCTCCATTTAATAATTTGTATGTAAATAAACATTGGGAAATGTAGCTTGATATTTCAAACACGTATTATTACATGTTTACACCAATAACAAATCAATTTTGTTATAAATCTTTTAGCGTGCTACAAAAGATACGATTTAAGCAACCGATCTCCTAAATCGTATTTGAAAAATATCGATTTAATCATTATAATAATTTTATTGCAAATATGTATGTACATTGAATGTAAAATATTCTATAATAACCTTTTTTTTATAAAAATACTAAATTTAGAATAAAATACATTATTATCAGACAAATTGATAAAAAATTAACATCAGTTTGTACCTGACTTTTAAAATGCTGTTGACAAGCACAAAACAAAATGTAACTTGTTAAATTTTTATCTGTATTACTCATTTCTTATTTATTTTATAATTTTGTACTATTACATAATTTTGTAAATATTACATTTTTTACTGCCAGACTCGTCCGTTTTATGTAAAGACGCGAATAAGCCTGGTTTCATCAAGATTGGACGTGAGGAAGGCTAAACTTAACATTTACCGATAATGTACAATTTAGTCAACCGGTGCGTATTTGACAACTTTCCTGTAAGATGTTACTATACTCTAGCTGTACTTGAAATATAATACCCGTCCACAGGAGAGTATACAAGAAAATACACTGAAATCGGGTAAATTTAGATTGTTGGTACGGCCATAAACCGACAGCAAGCAATAGGATTCTATTGAGATTGCTGTATTGTACTTGTAAACGTGTCATCTCTCTGTTACTTCAAAATATTACTATGAAAGTAGAAGAAATTGACGAGTGCCTTCTTTTTTTCTGTCGTTCAATTGAATATTCTGTATCTTTATTTTTCTAAATTTTAACGCAATTTCCGTAAATTGTGATGCCTAATTATGTAATAAAAGCTTACCATAAGATCCAAATGCGCTTAATTCAATTTCTCTCTAAATATTTATGCGATCGATTTAACGCTAAAGGTAATTCGCCAGATGTATCTTTCTCATGAAACTGAGTTACTTGAAGAAAAGCCGCGCAGGCGCATTTCTTCCTTTTCAGCGCTGGAACTTTATTCTGGTCTACGCACTCACAAAGTACACATACAATTAATCTTTGAGAGAGATGTCTTCAACTTTAATCTATTTGATGCTGAACGTATCTGGTAAAGCTTCTAATATAAAAATGATTGTATTCTACATGCCAATACGTAACACTATTAATTTTTAAAATTGTGATTTACGCGATTAATATTTTTAGCAAATGTGTTAAATATTGATATGTCAATTATCTTATCGTCTACTATTAAACCGTATACTCTACTGGCAATACTTTTTCTTTTTATTTCTTAATTTTTTATGTATATTTGATTTATTAATGAAAATTTTTAACATAAATATTTATATAAATGTTGATACAAAATAAATTAGTTAAGAGTAATATTTAATGGGTTGATAATAAACCTTTTGCATACAAGAAGTCTTATTAAGACTTGGTAAAAATAAATTAAGTTTATGGAGCGAGTGACAAATAAGTGAAGCTTGTGAAAATTGAGACAACGAAATGTAAAAGAGACGTTTACGTCTCTATACAATTTTATACAATGATATTGAATTGATGGATTGCCTAAAAATTTTAAATAACAATTTTTTTTATTTGAATAGCTTTAATCTTCCTTTTTTAGCAGAGATAATTATTCACATATACATATTATTATGTTTAAAAAATAAATCTATCTATTTTCTAAGTGTGAATAATATCATAATAACTACATCTCCGTGATCGCTATAATAATATTAAATTAATATTTGTTTCGTTACCGCAAAGAATATATGACAGTGAAATAAGATATCAAAGCTTCCATTAGCTGCAATTATAAATATTCTTTTTTCATCCATGTGTAAGGTGGTGCTGCTAAAATATACATATTCTAATATATTATACAAGATATTGCCGTGGCGAAACCTTCCAAAGATGCATTAAACATACCACCGATATTTAAAATTAATTCCTTGGATCTTTTTTGTAACAGGAATAATATTATTTTTTGTATATGTAAATGGCAAATATTAGGTTAGAACAAAAGTTCATAGTGTTACTTTATTTATATCAAGTTTATGTATTTAAAAAATTTTTTAATAAAATTGACGATTATAATTTTCTTCTTACATCTATAAATATTAAATATATTATACACAGTAGTGTATTTTATTTTTATTATTTGTATATTATTTATTGGTATTTATCTAAGATTACATATGTATAGTATTGATTTGTCGATTTAAAATACATATTAATAAAATTATTATTAATACATAATTTTGATGCAACATTCACACTATAATACACGAAACCAAAAACTTACTTGAAACACATTGAGGCTAAAGCAAACTCCTGTGCACATCCTGTGAAACAAAGTATCGTTACCTCGAATGTGGACACCATATGCTTGGACAATCTTTGAAAGCAAAAATATTTAATAATAAAATTTTATTATAAGATATTATTGCATGAATATTGTTGTAGATACAAACTTCATGCCTTGACGAGGAATATCTATGGCATAAATTATATCCTCGGTCATCAAAATCATATTTTTTATCGTACTATTATGTAGAATATTGATTTTACTGCATGATCGAAACGATAGCTATAAATTTGTTTTAATTACAGAATTTGTTTACCAAAATACCCAAAATCTCCACATAAACTTTTTTTAATATAGTGTAAACTCGGGTATGATGGCCATTGTTTTTTAAAATGCAAAAAACATACATTTATTCTTGTTACTTTTTAACAATACTTGGGATATTACTTTCACTGAAGCTTAAAATAACAAATACTATCGAAATTAAAGAGAAAATACTAAACAGAACTTTAATTATATCAAAATATTACAAAGTATGCATTGGCCATCTTATCTGATTTTTAGGGAAAAGATGGCCATGTGTGATATTAAGAAAGATAGCTATAGTATTTATAAATAAATAGTGAAAATAAAAGTATTAATTATAGGTCACATTGCAATTTACGTACCTTTATTGTGTATGTACC